GTAAATTAAAAAAGCCACATTTCAAATATGAGAGAGCTCCTAGGGCCATTGTGGAAAGCAAGTCTTCCCGCAAAACTAGAAGGACCGGAGAGACGGAAACAATTCCCAGCATTCACTACAGTTGAAAAGCACATGAGAGCAAAGAATTCATGGGGCGACACACCGGGTGCTCTAACCTGTAGGACGGCACCCTCCTGGGAAATTTTAACTACCTTGGCCTACCAGGTGAAATGAAAAGCTGGGAATCAACATCCAGCTCTGCTTCTCTCTATAGCCTGAACCGTAATAGAGCATGTGGACATTTCAGTTCCTCATTTCCTTTTATCTGCAAAACAAAGACAACTCAGAGTATCAAGAGAGAGGCAGAAAATGTTACCAGCTGCGCAACAGAGAAAACATACTGAAAAGGTGGCCCTAAATTAAACAAAGGACAACTCCGTGGTCCACAAAGACAGAGATTTTCCCCACTTGCTGGTCTATTTATTAGGTAAGAGGAGCTGATAAGGAACGTGATCTCTTGATCACATGAAACTAGCAAGAAATCAGTTCAAGGCTGAAGAATTTTCAGAGCAGAGGGGGAGAAGAGTAGTTTAGAAATCCAGTCAGGCACAGAGCAGGAGTTCAAATGGCCAGGATAGCATCTGGTGGCTCAAATCCAAGTTAAAAGGTGCAAATTCCACAGGGTAGGACTCGGAGAGCAGCTCACATGAATACACTGCACACACACAGAAGTAACTTTCTTAAAATCAGGTTTCAGACTGCTAACCAGGATAATAAAAAAAAGCTTCTCCCATCACAAGGACTGATATCCTTTGTCTCCGTTTCGATCTATTACTGCAAAAAACACATGCTTAAAATCACAAAAAAAGTCTTTTTTCCCAACACAAATAATATAAATTCTACTGCTTTACTCTTCAGCAGTTCAGTATGTAGAGGCCTCTGCAAATAATCTTCCCCTCTTCTGTAACCCTTTAAATTGAAGACGCTTGCCTTAAACAGAACGTGATCCATTTCTGATGTGGTAAATGAGTGAAAAGTATTAGTTGGTTGAAAGAGCTGTGATAAGAACCACAGTGTGAAAGTTTGGATCCTAAATATATATAGATTCATAGGAGTGGCACTCAACCACATATAAAAGTTATAGATGACTGTAATTACCCAAAGCACATAAGTACCAACGTGAGATAGGAGAAAGTACATATAAATTTAGAGAAACTTGATTAATATTGGCTCAGCATTACAAAGTGTAACCATCAAGTATGATACAATATAATTATGGTTTGCAAAACTGTAATTTACTCAAGTTTAAAAAGGCAATGGTACAGTACGTCATAAAAATATACAGAAGCTGCCACTAAAATAATTTCAGTGCTGTAGCTCTTAAAGTATTTTGTATTTAATTTTCTTTAAGCCTGTGTATTTGTAATCTATCTGAAAATTCAGTGTGAATGAGTCTGAAATAAGTCCTGTTCCAGCTGAGCTAAATGTCTGTTGAATTTTAATGAGACAGATTGTCTCTTTTAATGTGTTTTTGTACAAACTGATTATATTAAAGTATGCTGTAATTGAATTATAGGTTAGGCTATTATTTAGAATTACTTGTTATGTTATTAGACCTAGATTCCTGCATAAACACTGCAATTTCTAAATATTTGAAATAACATCATTTGGATTAGAAATAAGTAAATTACATAAAAATTGACTTGTGTTATTCAAAAATGAAAGAGTATGTCATTTTTGTATTTTTCATCCTTTTTTATTGCATTTTTCTTTTTATTCTGTGTAGACTGCTCTCATGCTCAGGAACAGAAACAAGGCCAAAGCCTTTTAAACTCATCTCAGTTGAAGACAAACTGTTATCTTTACATCTATTATCATTATTAGAGATCATTTTTTCACAGCTCAAAAACTCTCCCCAGTGGGCAGTAGCCCATCTTACTAAACTACCTACCCATAATTCAACCCAGTTTCATGCAATTGTCTGTCTATGCTCATGAAAGTCCAGCTCTGAACTACAATGGAGACTATTTTCCCTCGCCTCCAGGGAGGGAGCTAATTTTGTTGGCTGCCTCCATTCCATTCGTCTTCTTGTGAATAATGAAGGGCTTGCCTTTTTCCCTTTGCTACCCATTTGAGAAATCTGAACACCAACGTAGTGCAAAGCACTAAATTAGTACAAATGCTAAAATCCCTGGCTACAAAGCTATTCATTCTCATGCAAACTTGGAAACCGCTTTCAAAATCACAGTAACAACTCACAGTTCTTGCAGCCACAGGTTTCTAGCTCTCAAGAGAGAGAGCAAAAACTAATATTCAAGTCTCATGGAATAAGTCTAGACCCAGAGTCAAAGTGCACTGATGTCCTTGAAGCAGCTCATCTTCTCTTATGGTTGCACTCCAACCAAGAAAACATAAGAAATAAGAAAACGAGACTGTTCAAGGCCTTCCTTTACTCTGTCATTCTCAAAATAACATCTCAGTTGTTCACACACTATAAATGATCAGACTCTGTACAGGACAGGGAATTCCTCCAATTCAAGTTATCTGGGGGATTTTAAGCAACCAGGAACGACCACTGCCATAGAAAGAACAGTCTGAATGATTCCGATTAGTTCAGTTCTTACCGGTTCGACATGAAAAGGTTTGATGAACAGTGGCAAGAGGAAAACAAATCATTTAGCCAAACTAATTTGCTATACTAATGAATTAATTTTTAATAAAATAAACTCTCTCTCTTGATCTCGGTCAAAACAACTACAATTCTCACAGAGAATCTACAGACAAGGTAAGTGAATGTTATACCATTTTGTTTGCACCAACAAATCATTTAAAACATACTTGAAGCTTTTGACCCTCATTCAGTTATGGGCCATAAAAGGTCTAATTTAAAAATGATATATGTTGTCTTATTTCCATTTACATTACTGGAGTAGACAAAGATTCTTATTATGAAGGATGGCTGTCTTTAAAGATTGCCAAGAGTAATTCTCTGATATTTTATAAACAGTGAAAAAATTACAGTATGTCAACTACTCAAAGTGCAGAATGAAGCTACCTTCCGTACGATTGCCTAAAAAGGGGGTGAAAAGTTGACCGACAGTTTGCAGAAAAAAGGCTCTTTGTATGAAAGTTATAAAAATTGAGTTATCTCAACATTTTGTGTAAAAGGGTGTGATTCAGTGCTCCAGCATTGCTGTTTTCCAATAAAAGCTGACACGTTACTGCTTCCCGCAACTCACAGCAACTCAGAAGGGCAGGATTTTACTATTTCCCCCGTATTGCATTCAGCAGGGAACACAAAAATTTCATCCTGAATGAAAACAAATCACACTGCATCCCTCCAGACTTAAGCAATTAGGGTAACTATAGATGCATTCAGGTCTTGTAAGCTCTTTTCGGTGAAGACAGTTTCTCTGTGCAGCACCGAACACAATACATTTGGGATCATGACTCATATTCTTTGCTACCACCAGAAAACAAATAATAATTCATTGTGTATACATAGATCTATCAATAATGCATATGTATTTTCCCATATATCACATCTATAACAACATGTTCAACTGCACTCTGCTCATTTTCTCTTTTATGCCAGAACAGCTACATTCTTTTCAAGAAACTACTCCTAATTTGCATAATCCATTTAAATAACAATATATCCTATGCTGTAAAATATACAGTGGACTTGTATCTTTACCACTGTCTCCAGTGCAGCCCCTTCTCCAAAACCTGGCTAAATGGATAGGCAATGCAAAAAGTTCAGACAGCCTACTGACTCAGGCTCTGTTGGTTAAGCTCAGAAACAGGTTGCAAAATCAAGTGGCCTTCATTGAAATGCCTTGTCTGCAGCATTTATAACTGTGGGAAATCAGCTCTGCCACCTGAGCTGGCCTCAGCTGCCAGGGCATCACATGAAGATAGATGTGATCACTTAAGGAGGTACAACAGGGAGCTCTCTTCTGCTCTGCTTTCATCTCACTCCCTGATCTCAGATCAAAGCAGGGAGGCAAGTAGAGTATGGGCATGTCTACATGGGGACATTATATCAATCTATTTGTTCACTCTAAGTGCAGCAATTTAAATACATCTAACTGAAAGGCTTTTGCACCAGTTTGTCATGCTGGCTTAAAAATATCTTCCTTATCAATCATAACATCCAAACAGCTCTGTACTTGTCCGAATTGACTGCCCCAGCTTCTCAGCCAATATTTCAAGGCTCAGTGTTTACCAGCCTCTACCCTATGACTTTTCCTGTGCTGTAGGAGGTCCACTTGAAATTACAGAAAATTGTGGGCAGAGGAGCAAAATAGTGTCAAATCAATGAATTCCTTGAAATCTTTTCCTGGCACCCATTAACATCTTCAAAAGCATTACTCAACTGCCATCATATAGCATGAATGACCCATTACTTACAATTATGATTACTGTAATATAAACAAAATTTCACACACACACATACTTGCAATGTAGCACCAGTGGATAGATTTTCCTTTTTGCAGAAACAAGATGACTGCTGGCATGGTTTCAACATGGCAAAATTTACTTTCCTAGTGGAGCAAATATCACCAGAAATCATCTGAGCAGAGCTCACAAGGAGCTGCCACAGACAAACACTACCGTGAAGCCTCTCCTTGGTTCACAGGAGCACTGTGCTCCCACAGACTTGAAGTTCAACACCCACAACCATCATCAGGCACTAGCTAATTAGTTTGATGTTGGGAGATCAACTGCTGGAGCTTTGTAATGTTACCTGGAGACTCTTGTCTTATCTGATGCCATTGCATTGTCCCAGTGCTCAGGAGGTTCATCGTGGCTTTGCGTATGTTTCTGAACTGTAGAGGCGTTGAGTATTGCAACACAGACAGCTTTTTCTCACATGCTATAGCAAGTTGGAGACTTTTGGTCTTGATCCTTCGAGGCCTGTCAAGTCACAATGGAGAGTCATAAATAACAGAACTGGGTGTTTCAGAGAGATACATAATGCTAAAATATTCAGAAACTGAAATCTGCTTGAACATGGGAACGTAAGCCCCCACAATGATTAAGAACACAAATGAAGCTATTCCCCCTGTCACTCCAAGAGTATAAGTTTCTACAAACATTTTGATAGATTGAAATTTCCAAGTCAGTTTCATGAGAAATGTCCTAATCACATCTAATACCACACCATACAAATCTATCTTTGAAAGATAATTATTTTAAGGACAGGATAGTGAATTGTCATTAAAATTGCTCTAGGAGAAACTAATATCATGAGATTAAGTTAAACAGAGTGCATTTTTCATGTCTGTTACTCAAATACATGCAAATAAGGAGCTATGATGGGCTTTAATTAGATCCACATATTTCTTTAAATTACTCAGTTTTCCTACAGGCTTTGAAAACACTTAATCTCAACTACCTATGTATAAAGTGTGCTTGGAATAAAAAAAGAACACATCCAGCTCACTGATTAGGAAAGCAAAAAGCTTCCAGTGTTTTATAGCTGAAAATAAACATTATCTGGTGATATTCTTTGAACTTTCATGGTCATAATTAGAAAACCCTAGTCATTCAGGGCCAGGAATATGTGCAAATGATGTATAATACTGACCTAAAGACAGCATCAATTAAAAGTCATTTATTAGCAAATAGGTCAATTTTCTCTTTGCAGAATAACAACTTTACTTAGTTCCCCATAGATAGAAAGGTATAACAAATGACATGGTTATTCAGTTACTTGTCTCTCTGTTGTCTATCCGCATCCCACACATGTCCACACTGCTGAGAAGGTGGACAACTGTTGCTTGGGAGCTAGACTGATGTGAAATTATTTCCAGAAGTTTAGTAAGTGTTTTTTTTATTACTTATTTTCAGTGAAAATTTTTTTCCCCTTCTTACTCAATTACAGGTGACCTGAACGGGGGACCAAAGGATGAAAGACTCCATTGGCTCCTCCTATTATTTGAGCCACCAAGTCTCCCCAAAATGCATATTTTGACAAAACTCATTACAGACTTAAATATGTTTGCACAATCTACTGTAAAATTTGTGGTTAAATTTAAAATTTGAAAGAAAAATGTTAAGTAGTTAGAGAAAACATTTATTAAATTGTGCATTTGATGACCAACAACCAAAACAACCTGGAGACCAGAGAGTTAGAAAATTATGTTCAATTAAAACTGCCTTTTTCCTCTATTTAATCTGCTTTACAGTCCCTTTAAATTTAGATTCAAATCAAATGAAACATTAACAGAGAAGAATATTTTTAGAATAAAAATATGCCCTATGATTTAATGCTAATGATACCAACTATATTTTTTGATGTAATTTCTTGCTTTGTTTTAATACTTTACATGCTGTCACTATTGGTCCCCAAAACCCATTTACTCCTCAACTCTTAATAAGCCAATTAGTTAGCTAAACAAAGCTTTTTTTTTTTTTCTTCATTTTAAAAACATGCACATCAGCAGTCATTTAACTTCCTTCTTCTCCCCTACAAGTGGGAACATGTGCAACAAAGTGTAGTTACACGATATACCAAAAACTAAAGATGTCATGCAAGTAGCAACAAACATATGAGAATTGCCCAAATAAAACCACAAAAATCAAAAATTTCTCAAACCTTTGACTGGGTCAAGCTCTATTATGTCCTCAGCCATAACCTAATCTGACACACAAAAAGCTTACATGGAAGACTTCACTAAACTAAAAGTGACATTGTGGAAAGTGGGGAGGATAGGAAAAAGAACAGGCAAATAGATTTTTGAAAAACTACAGTAGGTTTTGCCGTGTGAAGAACAGAATCTCAATATCACTTAGTGATTTATTCTTCAGTGTTCCTTTGATAAGATATGAGGAGGCTACACAAGGCGTTCTCCAGTTGTAATCAGAGCTCTCTATATAATCTTAATTGCAGATAAGTATTACAGCACTGTTACCGCTTCTAAACAGAGAGCAGAAATTTCTGGTCAACAGAACATTAAGTGCTATTCTGTAATACAAACAGAGAGTATGGAAACCTGCCTTACAGGAAAGTAGTAACCACACTGTTCTTATTGCCTTCAAAAGACTTGGCTGCACTTCATCTTCTCATGGCTCTGGATCTCTGCTTAGGTCAGTTATCTCATTAAACTTTGGGCTTCTACAAAGACACAAAAATAAGACAATTTGGGGTAGAAGTCCTTTAAGTGCCAACTTACCCATGACAAAAATATTTGGGAAAGTAAAAAGGTTGGGGGAAAAAATAGGGCATCCATATTAAACAACAATAAAAAACAAATAGTGCAAAGCCAGTAAAAACTATGTACAAAATAGCATCTAGAAGAATAGATTTTCCATTTTGATATTTGAAAAAAGTTAACCTTAAGTATCTAAAGAATTATGTTCCAAGTTAGAGTATACCGGAACAGGAGAGAAGGCAACTCTCATATATATCTATTAAAGCAATCAAACCCTTTGAATACAAAAATCACTTCTGTCAGAGCACAGGTGAACCGTCATTAGCTGTCATTGCATTAGGAAGAACAAGAGTTACAGTTTTTATGAACTGAATATGCAAAAGCGGGCACGTGTCATTTGCAAAGATCATTGTATGTTGTGCATTCACAGTAAAGGTTAACCCATCAGTTGCATACAAAGCTTCAACAGAAAAGAAAAAAAAAAAGAAAAAAAAAGGTTGAATCTCCAGAGAAATACAGGCAGATTTGCATCTTTCTACCTTACATTAAGACCATACAATAAACAAATTGTTCTCATTCAAACTCTTTTTGATGACAGACCTGCATAATCTATTTACAAAATACATATTTTGAACGTTTTCATCTTCTATATTAGTCAAGCAATCTCTTCTAGGATATGTTTCCACCTTAACATTTGACAAGCACAGCTTAAAACATCCACATGCATAGCATTTTGCTAATACCACTTGCAGAAACTTGCCTGGTAAAATTATTCTTAAACTAGTGACCTTCAGATTGAAGCAGGCTATGATAGTAGCCCTCACATAATATGGAAGTGATTTCACGTCACTGAGAGAAAGCCTCGTTTCAGTTTCTTCAGGGACGGAAATTATTCACTTAACGATTGCTTTGAAGTTTTAACTTATGTGGAATTAGCAAACCATTTAAAGCTGAAAAATGCAAATATGATACAGAGAACATACTAATTACAATGATTTGTTAACCTTTCCTTCTCCAAATGCGTGCGATGACTTGGAAATAACCCTCTGTCTCTTCAAATTAGTTCACAGTCACAGCTTTGTTCAGGTTTTGACATTTAATATTTTTGCACATTCTCACAAGTAAGCCAAAGGTCAGTGCTGCTGTCCCATATTTCTAAAGAACAGCCAAATTTCTACCTCTTGCCAGGAGAAATTTTAGGATCAGAAGGTAATAGCAAAAACTTCAGGAGATCAGTAATTGCCATAAGCTATTATTTGAAATGGATCTTTCTGCCCCAGGAATCTTTCTTTGCAAGCATGGAATATTCATTTTTTCAGTACCATTCATAATCATTAAGAAAAAATGGATGCATTGGCACTCTCGGATACAACATTTTTACAACAGTTTTGCAAACATCAATCTAAAATCATAAACAAAATAAAATACTTTTATTCAATTTTTTCTGATTTATCAAATACTTGCAAGTACAAAGTTCTGTACCGATTTTGAAAATATTCACTTAGTATACATTCCAGTAAAAACAAGTAGCAGAAAAAAATATCAAAAGCTAAGCACAGAAGTATTTATATAACAGATTTCAGTTTTTAAATAAATTTTTCTTAGCAGATCAAAAGAGAAAAAATCATTGATGAGACTTAAACTGGAACTGGTGTCTGTCACTGTTGCACATGCTTCTTTAACTTTAGCAACCCAATAGCATTATTTCTCCGTGAAAAATCTCTTGTCAGATCCTGAATCTGCCTGCCAGAAATAATAATTAATTGAGACTTGCACGTCTCTAATAGGACAGTGAAACATGCTCCCAGTCCCCTCAGAAAGCTCAAGACTGAGTAGTCGGATGACGCTAAGACCACAGGGAAGGAATCAGTTATGCGCTGACTTCTCCATTAACAAACACCACGGACAGGCACAGAACGGGGCACGCCCAAGTCCATTAACAACTAACCCTCAACGAAATCTGACTTTCAGTGTTTTGAATGATGCCGTGGTATATGTCGAGGCCATAAATAACATCCTTCTTATCAAGATAAACCCTAGATCAGCACTACCGAGGTACAAGTTTTGGCAAGAAGCACCAGTAAAGGGCCATTCTGCCCAGAGCACCAGAGAAGCAGGGCAAGTCTGTTTGATCCCCAGCACTTTCAGCTTAATGAACAGCACTGCTTGGTGTATCACGTTGCAATTTGTTTTGCTGTTGTGAGTGAAAAATCTCTGCAGCTGTGGAAGCAGCAAATGCTTTGGGTAGCGGGCTTAGATAAAAAAAGACAACAACAGTTTTTCTGCTCATGGAAAGCAAGAGATCTCAAATCCACCCAGAGTGGCGTTCTTCCAGCGTAACGTAATCAGCCTGAAAACCTGCAAGCTCAGAGGATTATAAAGGACTAGGCAGCTACACATGGATCCTTGAGCAAAAGCCAGAGAATGAAGACGTACTTATTTTCACTAAACAAATTGTTATTGGAGATGAAACTTATTTTATTATTCTTTACTGCTATTGTTCCTATACAGATGGCAATGTAAACCATGACAGATATGACAATATTATGAGAACAAGACCTCGTGATAATTTTTAATATTACCTAGTTCCATACATTAGAAGAAAATTCATGATGAGAAAATTTTGCTAACTTTTTAGTAATGCCCATGATATGGATTACAGCTTGTTTCAGCCCAAAACATGAAAACTATTTCCTACATATAGATTAAAATACACCTGTAGTTTGCATTAACCATGAAAAATGCAAGCATACATGGAAAAAAAAGGCTGAGAAATTTTCCCCACATCATTTCATGACGCATCTCTGAGTGGTGCAGCTCAGTTGATTGAGACGGATTATTTCAATTAAGCTACATCTGTCTAACTACATTGTTTTTGCAGGGAGGCCCCTGACGGTATGGCTACACATTGCCTCACAAGTTCTTTTTCTAGACAGGTGAGCAGTGCTTGCTTTACACAAAAAGATCAAGTCATTACTGTTTCTGTGATTCACATTTCTTTGGAAAAGCGGGGCAGGTTTCTGTGCATTTTAGCCTTTCAGCTGAGCCATTTCTCCCAACAGAAGTGCTCCCTTGGAACTGGGCAGTCAGGTCTGCCATCACCTCTGCTAAAGGATGAGCACAGCCGCTCTCCATAAGCTAGTTGCATTAAGACAGCATCCAGGCTCAATATCACTAATTTCTCCAATATGAGTATAGCTTGCCATGCCCCAGGTTCTGCTATCATTTATTGGAGGATGACAGTGTGATCATAAAAATGAAAATGTGTATAACATATGTTAAGCCATTCGTATGTAATTTCTATTCAAATAAGCATTTTTTTTACTTCTTGTTAAATGTGGGCATTGGTCTGAGACCGTACTCAAATACAGCAGTACAGATCATTTTGATTATTTTATTAGGAGAAAAAAATAGCTATTGCTTGCCACCCACAGGGAAAAAAATCTCAGACAAATTCAGATCTAGTGCAAGTACAACTCATATCCACAGATATCACCACCCTAAATTCATTAGTGACAAGATTGCTAGTATAAGCTACATGTCCAACATTAAGGAGCAAGAAAAAGGGGGTAAACGGGAAAGTAATATCATTTGCACTGATAAAGTAGCAGTCTAAAGACAACAGTCATCTACATAAAAACAGACTAGATGAGGATGTAAAGTAGCAAATAAGTATCCTTTGCAACCTCTGTTAGTCAGAGTCCCCCTACTTTTTCTCCCTGAAAAACACATGTAAGATGACTGAAAGGAACCCAAATCATTCTTCAGAAATACTCACCATTTTCCTTGCAAAAATTCATTCTGAAGATGTGTTCACAGATGTACAAAAAAGGCATGATTATTATTTTTAAAAGAGCCAAACATATTTCAGAATTCAGTAATGGAGTAACTGTGCAATAAGAGTACATTGGCAGGAATAGCAGTTCCTTCTTGTTTAAAAAAGCATTGCCTATTGTACAATTTTTTAATATTTTTAATTTTCCATTGACACAGTAAATCTGTGGGCTTTGGAGGGGGATAATTTGTTATTTTAGATACAGAGTTTACATCAAGTCAAAATGTAGCACTGTATCAACCCCCATTTCAGACTCATCTTACAGGTGAACAAATGGAGATTTTGGATTTTGCTCTTCATTTGAAACCTTGGAATTTTGTTCCTAACGTTAGTAGAAATGCATAAGTCCTTTGTTAAAATCTACTCTATTTAATCCTCAAGGCCCATCCCCAACATTCAATGTTACTTCTAACATCTTTGCTCTAGTCAGAAGAAGCAATCCTTTACCACAGCAAACACCACGTTAACAAACCCAGCCCTGGGTCCGCGGGGCTGGACCAGCAGCTCCTGCTGTCTCCGCCGTAGCAGCAGCACCACCACAAAGTTAACCACTTTCCCATGTTTCTTTCAACGCATTTCCTATTAAAAAGTGATGCAAGTCCATCCCTCAAAAGGTCATTCGCCGCCACAGGAAAGGCGTGATGCTGAGTCTGTGCAATTCAGCCCGTAGACATACAAACAATTGCTGAGAGCCTAATTTTTGATCATCCTACCTCAGAGCAGCTGGGAAAAGCCTTTTATTGAATTAGTTTATTATTTTGTGCTGCTTTCTTTTAATAAGCTCACATAACACTATCTTTTGAGCCAGGGATCTCCTCAAGCTATATCCAGAAATAAGTATCAGAGTGGCCCAGATGTAGTGGGCAAACAGGCTTCCTTTTTTTTCTCTCATTAGACTAGCTAAATAAGAGAGATGCAGTAACAATACTTTTTCAGAGTCCACTGCTATTTTTCTGTCAGGTAGAAGACGATGGTTGGTAATATTTGTCCCAAGCCTATCTCTACCTCAGAGCACAGCTCTGATTAATAGGTTAATATATGTACAATTTATTTTTAAGCTCAGTTACTTTTTCTGCCTTTCAAACACTACCCTATATTAATCTTAGCACTTGTGTCAACAAGGAAGAAAGCTGTCCCTGTTGTCCCTTGGCATTTAAGGCTGCATTCAATGCAGATAAGGTTTGTTTGGGAATGTACAGAGTTTGCTGAAGACAATCACTGGAGATACAACCTTAATTTAACCTCAAGCCTGCAGTATTTCCCCTGGGACATGGATGACTGATAACACAGCAGAGGGCAAGGAAAGCACAAAATTATTGAGAAATGGAAGTAGCAAATCTGGAGTGCTGAATTTCTTCCTCTAAATCATCGTTTATAAGGATAGTCATGCATGTCTGACTCAGTCTGGAGACACTAAGAAGCATCTTAGAAGATTAGCTTTAAAATGCACTGGCAGTGGATGTTTCTGAAAGCCATTCCCAAAGCATGTGAAATATAGCTGTCATATCCACATCTGAAAACAAAATGATGCCATGACAGAATCAAAACACACTTGCTCATAATATCTTACATACAAGGTAGGTCAGCAATTGCTAATTTAAATTAAGTCCTTAACAGAGAGCTTGATAACATTTCCCATGGGAACATCAGAAAATGGTGTTAATGAGCGTTATTAAAGCCTGCTTCTGTAAGCAAATAGATCTTTATTAACTGAGGTTATATTTGATGTTTTACTGTGACATAGCTCTAAAGGGGCAATATGAAAAACTGTAGATAGTATTTTGTTTTTAAAAAAGGGCTTTTCTCTCTTCTAAACTAAAAATAAAGCTATTCTGTTCAGGTTACAGGTTAAATAACCCTTTTATTTGCTACTGATAAATTTAATTGCCCAAAGCCAAATGGAATATGATTTATGTTCTTCTTTCTATAGAGATAAGAGAGTATCCTTAGCAGAAACAGCTAGAAAAGTCCACCCCACCTTCAGAATCTTGGCTTTCAGGGTGTAGGAATTTATTCCCTTAAAACAGAACGTGTGAATATCCATTAACAGATGAAACAGTGTAAGGAAAAACTCTTTATTGGCTACACAGGGAAGAAAAAGAGAAAAAAAGAAAAAACTTAATTTTGTTGCAGCTCTAAAGGTAGATTCTCTTTTAATCACATCTTCTGAGTTGAAAAAAGCAACTTTTCTTCCTGCTATCCACCATAAAATAGTTGAAAACCCTGAAAAAACAAGGGAAATGGGAAGAACTGAAGCTAAATTCAACCTCAGATTTTAGGGAGGAAATTTGCACCAAGCCATCACTGAGCCAACATAGTATCCTTTTAGCATCAAATCAAATCACGTGCAGTCAGATGAGCATTTATGTTTCATTGTTAGATGTTGTTGCTGTTTTATTTCCTGGTAATAAAAAGCAAAATATTGAATCAACACTTGTAGCTTCTATTTTAAAATATCTGGATATTTGCAGAGAAAAACAAGGTAGTATTTTGACGAGACTTTTAGCTCAGAAGAGCAGGGCAAAACATAACTCCTTAAGACAGCATATTGTGCTTCATATCGAGCAACAGCTAATGAAATCCTAAGAGGGTTTGTTACATAAGCCAGTGGACTGAAGAAACCTTTAACATGTAGGAAACTGGAGTTAATTAAACTGTTATGGGTATCCTATCCATCATCCCACCAGACTGCTCTATCCTAAATCTATTTACATTTTGCAATTGAAAAAATGTACTTGGGTGGTTGATAACCCCCATTTACTGTCCTTATTGATTTGACATTTGTGCGTAACCTTTATGCTTTAATTATCTTATAGCATTTCTTGAATCTTCCTCCGCTACAGAAGGTATTTGATTTCCAAGCAATTAGACATATCTGACAATCAGCAGGCAGTGAGCTTGATCCCCTCAACAAATTAATCGGTTTGGGAAAGTACCGGTTCATCACTGCAGAGAGCTTGCTGAAAAAGTTGGTTTTATTGAATCACATTTCAACCCACTTCAGTACCGTGGTATAACTGAAGTGTCTTTCAACTCTAAACGTATTTCACTCACAGGACAAACCGTCTTTAAGGGGCTTCCTTTCCCACATAATAATTCCGAAAGCTAAACGTAACATAAAAGAATTTAACTTAAGATTAACAACTGGTTACATTGGTGGGGCTCAGCACAGAAATGAGATGAAATATTTTCTAATACAGATATGGTCAAGGAAAAGAAGAAATTTGGTCACTGTAACATAAATTCATCATTTATTTTGAATCTTTGACAAGACTGATAGCTTATATTTTGTCTTCTGTTTGAGACCCAGTTTCTGAGGATTAGCATTTAATACATTGAGCATGTTAAATCACTTTGTAATATTTTTGACTTTTATCCAAGACTTACTTGGAATTTAATTCTGCCAAAAATCTTCACACTGCAACATTAAGAGTAACAATAGTCAGCTTATGGAAAACATGCCTCTCATTCATTTGGAGACATTTCTTGAGAGAGAAAATTTAGTAGTATTAGTGGCGATATCTTTTACGTGTTCCACATGTAAGAAATGATACAGTGCAATTCTGTCTTACTTGTTAAATGGTGACTTGAGACCAGATCCTGAAGCTCTTGTTCTTGAAAGGTAGCTTCTTGTCTTTTCTCCTGCATAAAAGAATCACATCATTATGAGAAAGGGGCCTAAGGCATCATTTCCAGCGGAGAGAAGCTGCTCCCATCACAGATGCTGTGTAAAGGAACTGTACCGTCATACTCCCTCAAAAACCTTTACGCAAGGAATTAAATATGCTGAAATATGAGGCACTTTTTGCTCTAGATTGCAGTACAAATCTCGGGAAGTTTCCAGATATCACTATTAACCTTCAAGAAACCTAGAAATCTGTTATAACTTAAACATCATCGTCCCTCTCCAAGATTATCCAATGGAGTTACAAAGAAAAAAGAGGTGCAATTCTGCTTCAGAGAGGGGCAATAACAGGAAATTTGGCTAAAAGCTTCCACTGGACTTCAAATATTACACCTTACCTCTTGATGGTGCAACCCTGATCTTCCAGCAAGAACACACATGCAACACAGTTCCAGAGGTATACCACACAGAAATCTCGTGCTTCTTAGGCATGTCCAAAATTAGACACTATAAATTAATCAATGAAGTCTAGAATTGTCATGCATTTTAGGCACCATTATTAGTGTGCTTGACACACAAATTTTACTACAAACATTTTATTTTATAAGCTAAGGCAGGATATAGATAATTACTTCTATCAGAGAGAACGGAAAGATTATAATCCATTTCCCTTCCTCACTAATGCCTGCAGAATTGTTTTCACACTGTGCAACCAAGAAACAAAGGAAAATAAATTGTTCTGATGTGTTAAACTAATTAAAAGCTGACCAAGAATCTAAACTTAAAACGTCAGAAATTACTCATTAAAAATGAATTTTTAATAGCAATCCGAAAGTGTGGTTGGTTTGTATAGTCTTGCTGAAATAGTGCTTAGACATCACTTTTGTGACACTCTCATCCAGAAAGAGCTATTGCTAAGCTGAATATATTTGTCTCTTTCCATAATATGATGTTCTTCTTTAAACCTAAGCTTTTAGTCTTTTATGACTTTTTATCTTGCCTTTAAACAACTCCCTCGCTCCCAAGGGAGCACTATATTGCACCAGCACATAAAATTCTGGACTCAATCCCATAGTCTATGTGCAAGCAAAATTCTCCCTGGCCACTGGAGAATTTCATAAATTTCAATGAGATTTTAGCATGGGCCCCAAATCACAAGAAGGGCACTTGGTGAAAATCAATGAAAAACTTTCTTGCCTTGGCAAAACATTAATATCTTAATAGGTATTCACCAATAATGAGTTGGACAACTAGCTCTAAATTAAGAGTTTATATAAATATATTTTCTTAACGTTCATTCACAAGCATGCTGCTGCTGTTTCCTACACCTACAGTGCACAATACTGTATTAAAAAAACGTACTTTGCGATGTTAGCAACACATGACATCTGTCCAAGCTAAAAAGAAAAAAAATAGTGTTGGTTTCCTCTCAGCTAATTCTGAAATGGAAAACATGGAAGGGTTTTGGGAGGCATGGAATTTCTGTGGCGGATTCAAGCAGTAGCAGAGCTTGCGTTAAGCAGGGCAGATCTTAGCTGCGCTTCTTGATGTTTATGCCATTCTTGCATACGGAAAGGCTTGATGTGGAAACCTATTTTTTGTGTTGGCACCTAGGAACAAGCTTATAATACAGGATTAAGTTTTCCTCCATACTAATGATTTGAAGATGCCTTCTTTCCAGCACCTGTTATTTTGCCAGAGGTGCCATTCAGAATTGATTTTTGATAAATTCAGCCTGGTGTCTCTGTGACTACTGCATAGGTACAGTAGCTTTAAATATTTATATTGTGCTGCTGGTGATTATTATTATTCCAGCCAAGTATAGTTTTAATGCATTTAAATGTCAATGTTTCTCGGTTTAATTCATCATGCATACATTCAGGTGCTTGTATACATATACTCAGTACGCATCTCCAAGGACCTAAAGAGACCTATTCATATTTTAGCAGCTGTGAGAAAGTGAGGACAGATTTCCTTTACATTCCTAACTGTAAACACTAATTAGACGCTTGACATCCATTACTGACTTAAAAAATTCTTTGTAAAATAATCCATCATAATTCTTTTATCGCTATGTCAACCCAAAGAACCTTTTTACTGTACTGTGTTATCTCTGATGCAAAAGTTAAAAACAATGTGTTAAAATAAAATCCATTTATTTATTCAGTTTGTTTCCATGGGAAAAATGGATTTCTGTGGTACCTAGTAAGTTTCTGAATACAAGAATATCATGCTTTATCATCTGTTTGTATGCATCTGTTGAAGAGCCATTATGTGATTGCCTATACACTCAACGTGTTTCTTGGGCTTCGCTACTGTAGTGCAACAGAATCTCAAAAACAAGAATTTGAGCATTTTTCTCTAGTCTCCCAAACACTATTAACGAGGTGCTGAGGGTCATCACAAAAAAAATATCCTTTTTGCAAGCACGACTGGAGCATGGTTTCTCCCTGGCTTTCCAAGTGGTAATGTTCACAATCGCCTGCTTAAGCATAGAAGAAAGGAACATAGCATTCCCAGGAGGCCTGACAAATGATTTCCAAGGTCAGGTATATGCACAAAGGAAACAACAAACACTCCTCCTTAGCCCTGTTACAGCATCTCTCCTTCTGCTACCTGTGACATTGACTCGACTTCACCCCCTTGAAGGGTTACCAAGACTGCCACGCAGATTGGGCCCAGCATTGCCCAAAACATGAAAGCAAAGCTGCGCCTTGTTAAGAGTTCAGAGAAACCCCGCACTGATTTGATTGCAGAGCTCCACCCAGGCTGTTTTCTCAGCCTAATGCTGCATCTCCAGAATGTGTAATTGTAATTGACCAGAACAGAGTGTCAGGATTAATTAATGTACTCTCGTTATTGGTGAGAGCACTGGTTTCCAAAGAATGGCCTAGCTGTTATTTATGGCATTTAATTAAGGCACAATCTTCTCTAAATAATCGGTGTGTTTTGAAATGCAAGAGTCATACTGTACATATCTGCAATAAGCCAAGCATAACACTCACAACCACATTTTCGCAGAACATTTTGACATTTTTGCAAGTCATGAGAAATTTAGGAAATTAGCAGGGTTTTTTAGCCTTTACAAGGCATGTGAAAGCATTCTATGCCTTCTAAATGGATTTACTCTAACTGCCTAATTCATTATGCTAAAACCATGAAGCAATTTCCTGTTCAAAGCCCGGCTCACAGGCGCTCTGTTGTCAAGTATTTGAATTTCAGATTAGAAATGTGTTCATTTGGATAGCATGAAAGGAAAGCTTTGTTGTCAGCTTTGCTTTATGTTCTGCCAGCAGCCAAATCCCTCTTCTTCAGCGGTCACCAGCAAAATACCAGACCTCCACTCTGGTCTTGACTATCTTGAAACAAACACAAATGCCTTTGGCCTTTATGGCCTAAGTGCTGGTTGGAGGTTTGTTGCTCTCCCCTCTCCCTTAATATTTTTTTAGGGATTATTTGTGACAGATGATATCAGTAAATGTTTACATTACACTGAGTTTTTCTCATCGCTAAAAAAGGAAAGGGGAGGGAGGGGGAAAGCATTTCCACAAAGGGAAAGAAGAGCCAGAACATTTAGTTCTCTTAGGGGCTTTATAGTTTGCTATGGAACAGCCAGCCGAAGTGCTTGTAGCATGGAAGTCCAGGAATTCAGACAGTGTCTGTCACAGGAAGGCTCTTTTAAGAATTCTTCCATTACTGTAAGCTCTTTCTGCTAGATTTAGGATCTATATTCTGGAGGAACAAACCCCAAAACACATCCTTTATTAATTAAAAGCAAATATTCACACAAGGAATGCTGTAACCTGAACATGAACTTTGATGGTTGTAAAATAGCTGGAAGCAAAAATAATTACTAGCAGTCATAGAAGACATTGAGATATTTGTAATCCCTTTACCTTAGAATACAATAACCCCTATGTAGTCATAATAAGCTCTTCAGTATAGGAAATGGTAATGGAAGATCTCTCTCCTGATACGAAGGCTGTGCAAATAATTGATTTTTCAGCTCAACAGTTGAACTAAAAAAAAGGGAGGGGAGGTTGATCCAAACTGAATGTAAATTTTCTCCTTTTTCTTGTGCTAATGAAACAAGCAGAAGGAGGAAGCATTCCATCCAGCCTGAAACGTCCTGCCTAACTCAAAACAAAACACTCCATCTTAAGTGAGATGAAAAGCCGCAGCCACAGGAGGAAGAGGCAGTGGCACAGGCACCCTTCTCTCCCACCTGACCTGCAAGTTAGTGGCCTCAGGGGCGATGGCACCACAGTCTCAGCAAAGGTACAGAGGATGCCACTGCCCAGAAGCACCGGTGGCTCTTGGGGAGGGCACACAGCTGGTTCCCGTTCCTCCCCACAATCCTCCCGCCAAACCTGCGCCTGCCACCCAGGCCGCGGGAACACCAGGTACCCAGCCCTTCCCCAGCGCAGGCCAGAGCACCCATCTCCCAGAGGAGCTGCCTGAGTCAATGTGCTCTCACTCTCCCTGTTAACACTTTCCCCCTTGCATAAAGGATTACACAGGCAGCTGGGGGCCAGTGTCCTAATCAGCAGTTTAGAGACACCCTAGGGAGTCACTTTAGAGGGTCATTTAATGACTCTCTAGTTTTTATGCAAAGTGGAATAGACCCAAAAGAAAGCATTGAAAGAGCCCCTGCTTTGCCAAGCCCAGAGACTGCGGAAGAGTTCATCTCAGTTCATCGAAAGTGGGAGGTCTCTGTTGAAATCCCAATCCGAAATCGGGCACAAAGCAGGTTTGTTTCCATTTTTGGCTCCCAGGAGAGTAAGCACAGGGTATTTCACCCAGCTCTAAATGACACATTGTTCCAACATCTGTTTCCAAGTGTTAAATGTGAAGACAAATCAAGGCGCACTGCTATGCCCATTGATAACGTTGCTAGCACCCTATTTCATGGTGAGCAGAAATGAGCCTAAAAGCCTACAGTGTTCACATTCTCTAATTCAAAAATTCTCCTGTAGTCCAATTGTATATGCTTTACAATATTTAAATGCACATAATA